TAGGGTTAACATGAGCTAAAGCCCATTTTAACCTTGCAATATTGTGGTTTGATGTAAGTGTTGGTCTGTTGTTGCTTGTGTGAGTTCTCACTCTGCCCTTTTTCTTCAAATTGTGTAAAGTGGCATGAGAAATCTTTAGTGTTGCTGCATAGCTTCTCTATGTTGTTCTCTTGTAAAGAGGCACTGATTACAGAAATTCATCTGAGAATTCCATCGGTTTGGGTCCTGTTTTCCCTGACTTCTTGTTTCTGACATCAATCACATTTCCCTGTACCATTTGCTTGCTTAGATCATCAAAAACTCTAGTAATTGTTGACTTATGCACTTGAAATTGTAATGCCAATTGAGCCTGGACTCCCCTCTTCAACTTACAAACCTGCATTTGCACCAACATTGCATTAATAATTTCTCTTTTTTTTCCTGCAAAGTTAGTTGTTTCCTTGATGTTGTTCCTGGTTGTTCAGCTGCATTTGTGCCTTCATTGTTGTACTGTTGATCTGTCTAATCTTGCTAAAACTGTTCTTGATCAGTTTCAGAATCATGTTCTGCAAAGTCAAATGCATTCTCATCATCTTCATCCATGAGCATTTGATCAATTCTATAGAATTGGTCATCATAAGCAAACTCATAATCCATTTTTTTATTTTTTGTGACTGCTTGTTTTTGGATTTCAGATTGTAAGTAAGGAGAAAGAATGGCAGCAGAAGTCTTTTTTTTTTTTTTTTTTTTTGCTGGTGAAGCTGCCACGATTTTGCAAACAGGGGTGAAGAGAGAAAATGAAGATGGCCTAGTATAGGGAGCATTAATCTTATTTAGAGGTAGTATTTTGGGTAAATATGAGCTGATAATGGGTAATTAGTGCTAACTTAATATTTTGGGAAACATTTTAACTTAAGGTCTGTATTAATGGTGAATTGTGAAAATGGTGATGAAGAACATTAAATGTAGAGGCTGGTATTTATAAGCCACTTAAATTTGAATGGAAATGTTGAAATCTCCCTTGGAAGGAAAAAATTTGGGAAAAATTTCAAATTTTGGCTAAAAAAGGAAATACATTCCCCACCAAATTTGGTTTTCCAGCCAATTTTTGCATGTGGGTCGGTCCCACTTTCTCTCTCCTCTATTGTTTAATTACTCTCCCTAAATTTTCCTAAACAAGATTACCAAATTTTGCCTAGGAGTCCGTGAACTCCTCCGAAGTTGCAAATAACCGTTAACGGAGGTAGTAACATATATAGATAAGGGAATTGAATGATAGTGGGTAGCTGTTAAAATCTAAAAAGTGTATTGGAGCAAATAGTATACGAAGTATTATCTCCTCTAACTCTCTCTAGTCTCTACTCATGTTCCCATCATAGATTTATAATTAACTGCTCCATACAAACTACAATATGAAATTTATCAATCACCTATAGGTTTATTTATTATTCCCTCCGTTTCAAAATTAAGTGTTTATTTCTATTATCATAGTCAAACATAAATAACTTTTACTACACATTTAATTCACATTAAATATGTAGGTTGGTGTATGCCATCAGGTGGTCTTCTGGGTTGGTGGTACCGTCATAGGCACCTACCAACACATTTTTCACCTTGGCCAGCTGGGCAGCCTCTGTTATTTCCTTGGAAAAAGCAGAGGACTGTTCCCCTAGTCTTAGTAGTCGGAGTTGCCAGTCCAAAGGCTGGGAATTATGTGCCACCTACCCCCCACAGAGGGTCAGCTGCATGTAATGTTGTCCATACGGCATGTATGGTTGTTGAGGCACATACGAGGCCGCATGGAGCATCTGAGGACTAGAGTGGGCAAACAAGCCGCCTGTCTGGTTCTCTTAATTTGATTGTGAATACCTCATTGAGGTATTCTGAAAGCTGTCTTGCAAGTTCGATGTGGAAGCCAACTCTAACAGTTGCATGTTCTTCTTCTGCTGGATTAACATCCGAGCATCAGAATAAGTTTTCTTTGATCCATCCGATTGTACATGCCGGATGGCCTTCCTCTTCCCTGGCTCAGGGAACAGGAATTTGGCCAAATTTAACAAGGGCCTCTGCCCCTCCCTAGGTTTAGGGTAAGGAGTGGCCTCTCGGTCTTTGGCCGGTTTATTCCTCCCAGAATGAGAGGGCTTCTTGGACGACTGGTCCCTGGTGGAAACAGCCGTCCGTTTGTCAATCAGGTTCTTAATCTCCCTTTTGAACTTTTCATGAGGGTCATGAGCTCGTTTCTGGTGATGGGGACGAAGCCTTCGGCCGCCTGAGGTTGACCGACCAGCTGGCCGGCTGGTTCACTAGGGACCGCCTGTTCGACAGTCCGTTCCTTCCTTTCAAGGGGACGGATGCGCCGAGTTCTTAGGGACCCGTCAGGGGCAGTGTGTGTGTCGACCTCACAGTCGTCATCTGTATCCCGATCTGTATAGACCTGGACATCGGCCATAGGCCATTTCTCATTAAGAGGTGGTACAAGTTCTTGTGAAGTCATCTTAGAAGTACTCTCCCCACAGACGGCGCCAAATGTTTCGGGGTTTTTTGGATGTCCTGCAGGAGAGTTACAACACCAAGACTGACCTCTAGATGCCTGTACCTGCAAAACAACGAAGACTTATGTGGGTGGGAGTTCCGCCACCGACGATCAAGTTAGAACGTGTTCGGAAGTAAAGATGCAGAAAGTAAAGGGGATCAGGCTCCTTTCGAAAGGGGAGTGATCATCTGATTGTCTGAGACAGTCTCAATATCCGAGCCTTAGCTCTCGAGGAGTGCAGTTAATATTGGGATTAATGCGCAGCAGTCAATGTACACGTGTGTTTTGGAATTTCTCAATGATGTTCCTCAGAGGGAACATCTCCCTTTTATAGGGTCTAGATATATGTGCTCAGCATTAGGTTTTCAGAAACCTAGGATTGACTGGGCTTGCCTAGGTATTTGGGCCTGATTGGTCCACCTTGGACCTCTCACGAGGTGACACGTGGCGGGCTCTGGTTGGTCCACGTGGCGGGAGAAATCCCCTAATCAAATGTATATATGTATATATATTGATATTAATTATCATTAGTAGAACATTCAAACTTTTTAAAGAAAGTGAAAATAGGGGAGACAAAAGAATAAAAAAAAAATTAGACAGAGCATAATCTATCTATAGCTAATACTCTCATTTGCTTTTTCCAAAAACCATTAATATTAATTTTTTACCAAAATTCCCTCCAATTTGCAACAATATTTGTGCAAAACTAGATTCCCCATGTAAATTTTGCATTTTCACATTACTTTTATTACTTTCTCTCTCTATTTTTTATATATCCCATGTAAATTTACCTTTTTAATATACTTTTACTACATTTTATTTAAGTTTCTTAATTCCCGTGAAATTTCAACAAAAAGGACTATCATTAAGAGATGGAGGAAATACCAAAGTAATTACTGCTGACATCATAACTATCCACGTGGTAGCTTCTTTTAAAATAATTTCCCTCCAAACCAATTATTGGCATATTTCTTTCTTTTTTTTTCTCCTTTTCAAGTTAAAACTAATGTTTGAAAATGATTGGTTAATTATACATTTTTCTAAAAGCTTTTATGACTAAATACACAATTTTTATTCCTATGGAATAAAAATAATTGACAATTGGTCTCTTTCACAACCTTCTTTTCCTCCCACATAGGTTGTTTTTTTTTTTTTTTTTAAAAACAATCTCCTGCATTTTATTAGTGACTGTAGAGTTTGGATTTTCCACCCTTTATTAATTTATCAAATTTCCTATAATGAATCAAAAACGAAAGCCAACATTTTAAAAATTTTAATACAGATATGAAGATAATTAGAATATTTAACATCATATCCTTCATTTTAGCTCAATTAATCTAACAAGAGGGATCACGATTTATTATATTTTGCTTAAAATATTTATATTACACACTTATAAGTAAATTTTTTATTATTTAAATTTGCATCGCAAGGGACTAACCTAGTTGGGTAATAAAGAAATGCTCCTATCATCTAAAAATAAATGCCCCATTGAGGTGGACACATAGTCCTACACAAGTTGTTTTAATTGATTAAAAATATATGCAAGTGAGGTATTACAGAGGTAATAATTGGGCGGGATGGAGGCTAATAATAAGCCTGTTAGGTTGGATCGGGCTGAAAAAACCTTGCCCAAACCCAGTATTTTGGGGTGGACCAAGCTATAAAAAAACAACCGAAAAAGTTAAAAGTGTTAGCCCATGGCCCGACCAAAAAAAAATAAGGTTGACTTCGGGCTAAAAGTTATGCCATGGCCTACCCAAAAACCGGGGTGGACCCAATTTGATTAGCTTTACCAATTGAAGTATTATAGAGTGAAATAAAATATAATATGGGACTGGAATACCATTACTGAATATATAAATATTGAAATTGAAAATTGGGCATATATTTTTCTATGTCGTTTAGGGAAAATGGAGTATTTATTTGGCAACTGAATGAGTAAAGAAAGTTGTTTAACATTTCAAAATTTCATGATATGTATATGGGCAAGAAGCAAAAGTAACATAAACAAATGGTTAAATGTGGTATAATCTCTCTGTTTATCTTTTTTTTATATATATATTATTATTATTTTATTTAATAAAAATCTGTTCAATCTTTATTGTTTTATAGAGTAAAGTTAACTTTATTATCTTCATTGTGTACATGGAGTTACAAGCTCTCAACTCTTGCAAGTGATTTGATGAGGTAAGAGAGGGAGATAGCAAATGGGGTTGTAAGTTCCCCAATAATACAATTAAAAAAACCTTAAAAGGACATACCAAAGAAAAATAATCCATAACAAACCAACAAAAAGAGATGAAGGAAACATGAAGTAGTTTGTTTCTCTTTCCTCTTCCTTTTTTATATAACCCAACTTTTTAAAAACCAACTTAAAAGAAATTTAAATTGTGAGTTGCTTTCTTTTCCCCTTTCTCCTTTACAAACCAAACTCTCCCTTAAACCTTAACACAAAGCTTTAAATCCGATACACATGAAATTTAAACTCACGTACATATAGACGGTATTGTAAAATGAGTCGAATATAAAATCGGAATCAGTCAAATTCAACTTGTTACAAAAAAAATCCAAATGCAGCAACTAGGGAAGCAAAAGAGTTTGGGCTTTTGTCTAAACGTTGTGTATGAAACTATGAATGTATGAAACATTACTAGGGTTAACCATAAGCCGTATCCTTAACCTGAACCCCGTACTTTCTGTTCCCTTTCAAGCTTTTCTTCCCTCTTTAATGGCTGATTGACATTACCAAAACCCTCAATTACTCCTTTTTCTCCCTAATTTTATCCATTAATCTCTAGTTTTTCTTACTCGATTTTCGTCTTCAAGTGTTTCGATGATTTGAAGATTCAATTGATTTCGGTACGCTCTTTCTCTCTTTTTATTTGATGGTTATTTTTCAATTGATTTGATGATTTCTGGAATTTCTGAAATTGGGGTAAAAATGGTGAAATTTTGATTTTGTGGTCCTGAACTTTTGGTATGGATTCGAATCTTAGTATATACTGTGTTATATTCCGCTGATTTCATTTCTAGGTTTATTTTAATTTGTTTAAGGTTATGCAATTGCATTTGTGAATTTGTGAATTTTCGAATTTGCGAGTTTGATTTACATTTATTTATAGATTGGGATTTTTGAAGGGAAGGGGTTTTGGTTTGATCAATTAGAGATAGATGAACAAAAAACCTTAACATTCCTCAATGTTTAGATCTATTAGACTTGACTATAACTCAATTAGTAATAAATTTAACGATAATAACGAGCTAAATTTTATGTACTCATAACCGATCTGAGTTCGATTTGGTTAAAGCTTGGCTTGGGACGTTAATGAGATGTGCTAGGCATTGCCGAGCTTGGCATAAAAGCTCGCGAACTAGCTTAAATATATAAATTATATGGAATAGTTGAGCTATAATGAAAGCTGAGCTTGGCATAAAAGCTCATGAACTGGATTAAATATATCAATTGCATGGAATAGATAAGCATTGATGTATGATTAACAATGTTGATTTTGACACGATACTATAAGAATCTTAAAATTTTGGAAAATAAGTTAGAAATATTGTGACTTAAGTGAGTATATTATTTTACTTGTGTTTTGTTAGTGGAGCTCGTCTTGAGCTCAGGTTCAAATCAATTTCAATTTCAATTTCAAATTGAGTTGAGCCTAAAATTTCAATTTTGACTACCTGAAGTAAGTTGAGCTGAGCTATATCTGCTACAGTGCTACCCTTAGTTCAATCTCTACTTACCTTGTTAGGTTGTTACCACCCCTGATCCAACATCTTTGTATTGTCCAAGAATTGGACACAGCTATCTTACGTAACATTTATGTTTTTGTTGTAAATTAAGGTGTAACTTCTCAACTCTCAAGTAACATACCCAAATCAAAGTGTGAAGAGTGTGGCAATGCGACATGAGTACTTTCGATGTATAAAGAGTCGATAAACCTGGTTTTAGCATTGTCATCCTCAGCTAAGTGTTTGTGCATATGAAATATCCGTGTGTTTTTTAACATTCGTTGTAAATTAAGGTGTTTAACTTCCTAAGTAAACTTATAAATCTCAAAGCGTGAAGACTGCAACATTGGTTTGTTTAGGTGCAATTTAGAGTCAAGGTACCAAATTCTAATTTTTTCTTCCAAGGCAAAATGTTCGTACATCTTTTCGTCGTATAATAAGGTATCTGACTGACCAAAGTAACCATACTTGTCTGAAGTGTAAAGAATGCAACATGTGTACTTTAGGTGAAATTATCTATGTACCAGGTTTTGCTATTGTTATCCATAGTCAAATGTTTGTACTTAAAATTGGTTTACTTCTGTAATATTGGGACTTAAATAATGGAGAAGGCGTTCTCCACTCCGAAGGTTCAGATTGCTTTTGCATGCTTCTACATTTGCTTATATTTTTCTCTGTTTGTCTTTTTAGTAGAAGAACTCTTGGTTAGTCCTAATTTAGCTGCTTCTGATCTCTGTACATTATACATCAATTGATCTGAAAATCTCACTGTATTTCCCTTCCTAATTACACTTTGTTTCATGTTTCTTTGTTTGGATAGAGATTGTATGGTGGTAACTTGATATTCTTCCAAACTCAAGCAACTGTAATTAATAGGTGGAGGGATTCACCAAGTTTGGGCTGGCAATTTAAGCAAAATAGAATGCTGGATAAGTACCCTCTTCTTATGACAGAGCAAGCATTAGACTTTTGGCTGTCAAGTGAGATCTAGAATGGAGCAAACTGTTTCTGAAAGACCTTCGTATCAGGAGCAGCATATCAGCCAACTCCACACACAACCTAATGGTACAGTAAACAGCAATGGTGCTCATTTGGAACGGGATCCAGAAGAACGATGGTGCCCCAGGAGAATTGGTGGCGATCAATTAAGACATGATAAGGTTCAAATGCCTTTATGTCGTGACAACTTACGAGGCAACTGTACTCGTGGAGCATTTTGTAGATTTTTACACTCTGAATCTGATGAACATGATAAATCCAGGTTCTGTCAGAATGAGCCAGAAGAGTTGGGTGCTGTTTCAACCGTAGGAAACTCACAATTATATAGAACAAATGAAGAAGCTGGTTCCACAGCTAAATTTTCATCAAGAGGTTGCAGGAGCAGGTCTCCTTGCCGTAGATTTCAGAGTGGAAGGTGCTACCGTGGAGTATCTTGCCCATATTTGCACCCTGAAATGACCAGTTTTCATAATTCGAGAGTAGAGCAGCAGCAAGTAGACAGAGCAGTAAGAGATCCTGGTTTTGATGGAAGGAATAGAGACAACTTTGGAAGGATTTCTCTGGAGCACGTTGAAGCAAATAAGGAAACTAATTTTACGATCATGTCTTTTTCAAGAGAATGCAGGAGCAGATCTCCTTGTCAGCATTTCCTCAGAGGCAAATGTGATTTTGGAGCATCATGCAAACGTTGGCACCCAGTCAATACGCATGCCAGTTCCAGACATGATTTGAATACTCAACATCATCAAGGAATCACAGAAACTTTTAATTATCCTGGTTCTGGTGAGAGAAGTCGAGATGTCACTTTGAGGACATCTCAAGACCATGACGGAGAAAATATGCATAATCTTTTGAGAACTGGTACTTTTTCGAGGGAGTCCAGGGGAAATTCGCCCTGCCGAAATTACCTCAGGGGAAGATGTTATCGTGGATCATCTTGTTTACATTTGCACCCTGTTACTGTGTATGATAGACCGAGGTCTGATTCATGGAGTGCTGAACAACGTCAAGTAGTTTCTGGAACTTCAAGATCTCCACATTTCGTTGATGGCAGTAAAGCTACCAATTTTAGGATATCTCAAAATCACGATCACAATAACTATGCAAACCAACCATGTTGTGACACACATGCTTTCTGTGAGCAAAACAAAGCATGGTTGACAAAGGATGGCGTGCAGTTGGCTGGTAGCAGAGAAGAAATGGATGTAACTGCAAGAAGTTGGTCATATGAGAGGCAGAGAAACAGGTTGGCTGGTAATTTTGGTTGCGACAAGCCAATACGAGAGGTTTGCCTTCAGTTTACGAAGGGTAGATGTACCCGTGGAGAACTGTGCAGATATCTACATGGATTTCATGAATATGCTACTTCTACCTCTAACTGGAATGAAAAACCAAACACAGAAGCTGCTCGAGATTCTGGGTATTTTGGTGTGGCAAATCAATACACCAATACAACGATGGCTCAAGATCCTGCTGATTTCAAGAACTATCAAAGTTCGTTAGGTGAAAGCAGTCTAAAAACATCTGATGATTGGTTTGACATGCGACGTGTTGATGGGCTCAATTGTGAAGTTTCCGGAGAAAAAAATAGGAGTTTTTGTAATTCTGCTAAAGGACATGAGAATGTTAGTTTATGGAGTCGGCCATTCAAAAGGCAAAGAAGCAGGAGTAGGTCTCCCATCAACTTACAAGATGATTTTCATAGCCGGAAGTTTAGGAGATGCGATTCTCGGATTGACTTATATGGAGGTAGGTCCCACAATGTTGTGCAATTTCAGTATCCAGATCGTCGTTCTTACAGGTACGAGAAGCCTATGTATCACGTGACTGACCAACAGCGGACAAACGGTGAAGAAACTTCAGTGAACACTCGCTCTTGTGAACATAATGATTCCAAGCTGATGACACCTCAAACAGATGAAAAAGTGGTTACTCAAGGTTTGCAGCTTGAACAGCATGCCAATGGCGGTTGTGGTTCAAATATTGGGATTGAGGGGAAGAAAAATGAAGCTGATACTGCAAAATGTGCTTTACAACCTAGTCATGCTAACCAAATTGAAGAGATATTAGCAACAGACAGTGTTGCAGTAGATAGTTCAGAGGGGGCAGCTTCTAGTAGTCAGGATGCTCTGGAATTGGGCTCAACATATTCAGGTGGAAAGCACCTTGTTTCTCCATCGGCTACTGATCGGATGATGTTAGTACAAGAAGCCAATGTTGAAGCACCCATTGATTTAGGTCAGGAGGGTAAAGATGAAGCTGTTGAATTGACACCATCAATAAAAACCTATTGTAGGAAGAAGAGTAAAAAAAGGCAGCCTATATCTTGTGAAGAACCTACGAGAGAAGAGGGAATTGATGTCTCAAAACAGGGCATGGAATTCTGTTCTTTGGTAGACAGTTCATTGAGTAAGCCAAATATTGTGAATGTTTCTAGTGTTCCAGTTGATATGGAGATGAGTGCTTCCATAAATAATGGTTTGGAGAATGTGCTCATGCATGACCATCCAGTTAAAAAGAAGTTTAGGAAGAAGCGTAAAAAAAAGAGCCCTGATGCTTCATGTGAAGAAACCAGGAAGGGAGAGGTATGTAATGATTTGAAACTGGATACCCCTGTCTGTTCTTTGGTGAGGACTTCCTTGAGCAATCCAGAGATTGTGTCTGTATCTGATATTCCAGCTGATGTGAAGATGAGTGCTTCCAATAATAATGATTTGGAGAATGTGCTCGTGGATGAAGATACAGTCAAAAAGCAGGTAAAGAAGAAGATTAAAAAAGAGCAGGCAAAGAGGAATAAAAAAAAAGCGCTCTAAAATGGAAACAAGTGCATCTTGTGAAGAACCAATGAAAGAAGAGGTAGCTGATTCCTCAAAACAAGGGATGCAAATCAGTTCTCTGCTAGATACTTCTTTGAGTGATGCAAATACCTTGTCTTTATCTGGAGTTCCAGTTGAAATGGAGACAAGTGCTTCCAAAAATAATGATTTGGAGAATGTACTTATGCGTGACCAGCCAGTTAAAAAGAAAGTAAAGAAGCGTAAAAGAAAGAGACCTGATACATCTTGTGAAGAAACCATGGAGGTAGAGGTAACTGATGCCTCAAAATTGGGGACTCCTATCTGTTCTGTGGTAGAGACTTCTATTAGCAATCCAAATTTTGTGTCTGTATCTGGTGTTCCAGTTGATTTGAAGTTGAGCACTTCTAATAATAATGATTTGGAGAATGTGCTCATGGATGGCCATTCATTAAAAAAGAAGGCGAAGAAGAATAAAAAAAAGCGCTCTAAATCTGCAACTATTGAAGAACCCTTGGAAGGAGATGTAGCTGATTCCTCTAAACAAGTGATGCCAATCAATTCTTTGGTAGAGACTTCTTTGAGTATCCCAAATATCGTGTCTGTAACTGGTGTTCCAGTCGATAAGATTAATGCTTCAAAAAATAACCATTTAGAAAATGTGCCTGTGTGTGACAATCCTGTGAAACAGCAAGCTTTGCCATCGTCATTAAAAGGAGTAGCGCCTATTTGTAGAAGAAAGCTTCTTGTCCTTGATGTGAATGGGATACTGGTTGACATAGTTGTGGGTTATAGTCATCGATATAAGCCGGATACAAGGGTGGCAACAAAAGCAGGTCAAAGAGTTTTACCTAATCTCACTTATTCATCACCTTAATTTTGTGTTATTCTACTTATTTTGATTGATTTCATATTTATGTCTGACACTTTTCCGTTGTAATTCCAGTTTTCAAACGTCCTTTCTGCGATGAATTTCTGCAGTTCTGCTTTGAAAGATTTGATGTGGGCATTTGGTCATCAAGAACCAGGTAATTATCTCCATCAGTATCACTCATCTTTTGTGGATTATGAGGTTTTTTTCTCCTTGATTGAATCTGTTGCAAAGTATTCATTTGGTTTTCTCCAGTGTTGTATTCAGTGCCTTGTAATTTATAATCATATCTAATTTGACAAGGCTTAGTAGTTTATTAGATCCTCATCTGTAAAACTATCTATAATTTGAATTCAAAGGTATTTGTTTATGAAGTTTCAATAAATGTCTTTGTTATTGCCTTGTGTCTATGAAATTCAATGTAGCTATGCTGTTACAAATAGCTGTTGATTATTCTTGATGTGGCTGCTGTTATATCTGCCCAAGGAGTATATATTCTCATTCTTGTTTCTAGCAATAGTAATCTGATTGATTACCTTATGGATCTCTTATTTTTCTTGCAGGCAGAACTTGAAGAAGGTGGTAGACTTTCTCTTGGAGGATTCCAAGGATAGGTTACGTTTCTGTTGGGTAAGACATTAATATCCAACAATGGAGTTCCAACAATGGAGTTTATATATTTTATAATGATTTGCTTGTCTTTTCAATTAGTGTTCTATTTGTAAAATCTTGCCAATTTATGATAAAGTAAGATACTGTGTATAGATGCTACAATTCTGTTTCTGGTATTGTGACTGTTACTTTCTGTTCTACTCCATGATATATACGAGGGAAAACTATATTTAAGATATGCCATGAGAAATCCGAAGATGTGAAGGAAGCTTTTTTTAGTTAGTTGTTCCTCCTGAAGGAAGGAAAAATTGGCAAATTCTTCAGTGTGTGATAATTTAGAAAACAGCTTGCCTGTGACTCCTGACTAGTTGGGTGTAAGGTCATGCGCATTTACAACTTCTACCTATGACTAGCAGAATTTACAGTCCATACTGAAAGCTGCCGTGGTTGTGCTGCAGTGTCATGAAATCTGCTTTTTTTTTTTTTTTAACTTGATGTTAGAGACTGAACTTTACCACTTTTCTTTATATTTTTATGAGTTTATTTTTCAACATTTAGTTTAAGTGGTTGATTAGCTGCTTATGGGGGAATTTTTTTTATCTTAAGATGGATTTCTTGCTGAGAATAAGTTAAAACATACAGTTATTATTCTGAATCTGCTTAAGAGGCTGACTTCATTATGTCCAAATATTAGTGGCACATTGTTTTTCAAATAAAAAAGATTCTGCAATCTGTATGTTGTATCTTGATTCTAGTTTGATCTTGATACTTAATTCTCATTGTTACATTCTCTCACAATTATAGTTTTATACTTTTATGCCTTTTTCAATGCGGCCTTTGTAGTTTGGTTTCTGACTGACTAAGCGAGAAACTCTTTCCAGGACCAATCCCATTGTACTGCTACAGAATACAAAACCCTTGAAAACAGTGATAAGCCCCTTGTTCTAAAGGAACTTAAGTACCTGTGGTGGGACACCAAGGGGTCACACCTTCCTTGGAATGCTGGATATTATAATGAAACAAATACAGTATTGTTGGATGATTCACCATACAAGGCTTTACGGAATCCTGTAAGTGCTAAAGTATATACATTGTCTTCAAATATGTTCACAGAATAGGCTTTCATTGGATCAGTGTTTTATTCATCAATCATCGTCAGGTCACCTCTGATACTATTCTAATACTCTTTACCTTTTTTGGTACATCTGTTGTTCAGCCCAATACAGCCATATTTCCGCGTCCATACAGTTACAAGAATGCTGGTGATTATTCACTAGGTAATATTACCTCAACCTTTATAGAAACTGGATAGTATTTGTTTCAGTGTACTGCTTGATAATCATTTGACATGCTATATTATTGTTGGTCCACCTGGGTTGGATCTATATTTAGTGGTTGGTTTTATTTCAAATACACGTGTCAGCTCCTCTTGTTGGTTCTGTTCTGTTCTGTATTAATTAATACGAGTACATTTGCTGCCATTACCCCTTCAATTTTCGTATTTAAGGTAGAATTATCTGTACTCTATAGTATTGTGTAATGCTTGTTTCATGATTTGAAATTATGATAGGGCCTGGTGGTGATCTTCGTAAATATCTTGAAAGACTGGCAGAGGCTGAGAATGTCCAGAAATTCATCCAGGAAAATCCATTTGGTCAAAGGCCCATCTCCATTGCAAGCAGGTCTTGGAACTTTTATTCTAAAATTGTTGGTAATTATGGAAGGCAAGAAGAAAATTCAAATATTGCCCCTGGCTCATAGCACCATCTTGGTAGTAACATTCTGCTAAAAGCTGGTTGAATTTTTGTAAGATATTTGGCGCCTTCAGGGGCTGACAGACTTTAGTTTGTCATTTATTTGTTGCTGCCAGTTTGTTGAACATGTACCCTTAGTCCTTAGAGGCCTCACTCACATCTGAGCAGTGCTATTACTGCCTATTCTCGATGGTGGCCCTCATTTTTGTACTTTAGGTTTTATAGTCGTATTATTTTGTGACAGAAATGTACAAGTAAATCATAGATCATAGGCTTTTAATTTATTCTTTTAACTGGATCGTGATAAAAAGCTGTAATTCATTGTCAAAACGTATAATATGCTGCTAAGCCTCTTATTAAGAGAGCTGCCACGGAGTTGAACCGAACCTGTAATTTCAATGCGGCTGATTTTTTTTTCTCCCTATGTACTATTATAATGAGCTTACAGTTTGTACCTTCTTTTATAATGTCCTGCTGTCCTGTGCTGCAAACAAAGTCTAATTTGGTTGCACAGGTAACATGCCGGAATATTGCAGGCACAACGGCACAAACCGAAATCAAGTTTGCACATGGTTACTTTTGTTTGGATTGTTGTTAATCATGATTATGACAATAATTGTGTAATTATGATGGAAGTAGAATACCATAATGTATAAAATCCTGCTTGAAAGAGATGTAAAGTTTTCTCAGCAAATCAACTATATTATGAATCTTCCACCTTGATTTCCCTTCATGAAAATGACTAGTAATTTTGGACCATGCATATATATATATATATATATATATATATATATATATATATATATATATATATATATATATATATATTGTATACTACGGAGTATTTAATTACGAAATGCATAGTTTTGCGTATGGAATATGTGCATGAATGTTTCAACATGTTTGCCTTAAAAAATTATTATTGTGATCTTGTTTTCTTTTGGGGTTGTTAATTTTGCCAGCTGAGCTAATACTAAGCAATATGTCATATCGAACTACCCCTTTGATGTAGATGCTAGAGAAAGCTACATTCTTTACTAGTACTGCTGGAAAAAAAGTCTTTATTGGCTGTTAACTTCGATTTTTTGAGTTTCTCATGCCACCAAAAGCTTACCTCAGTTTTTATAGGTCTGTTCCATGGCGCGAACTGTTATGGGTGGGTCTGTGGAACGGGGCGGGTAAAAGGTCAATCCAGCCTGGTTCAATACGAACCGAACCTTATTTTAATATCATTGTATGCCTTCACCGAAAAAAAAAAAATATATATCATTGTATGCAAGTATTTGCTTTCATCGCATTCATTTTTTTTAAAAAAATTCCTAGAGTTCATGTATTTTTGAACCTCAAATTCAAAGAAAAAAAGCTAGACATCGAGGAGAATAAGAGGGAAGAAATGTATGCAAAGCACCTCCAAGTCCAAAACTCGACCCTCTTAGAGTCTTAGCTAAGTACTTAATAAGGTAACTTACAGTGGTTTATACAACTCTTATTTTCTTATTTTATATAAAGTGATCCGAAAATAACTAACCATTATTATTGTTTCTCTTACTTAAATAAATTATGATTGTTTTGTTTACAAACAATTTCAAATGCCATCATATAACTCCAACCCTTTCTATAATCTTAAACCTATGTAAGGGTCATATATGTGTTATCTTAATATTTTGGTTTTACTAGAAATTCTGGCACGCACTTTGAAAAAGAGTTTTTATAATTGGGCCTAATGAATTTATATGGTATTTTATTATAGTTATTTGCATATAGACGATAAATGTGTTAGATTTTGTAACCGTGCAACATTCTTAGAAACTTTAGTAGAGTTAATTTAAATTTAGTGAGGAAGTGACAAAAAGTATCAAATTCTAGAAAGGTAAATGTTTAGATTTTGAAATGCAAATGTTTGATATAATATCTTTTTTTTTTTTTTTTTTTTTTAATTTGAATGTTGATATACTACTACCTAGGAGTACTTATTAGGGAAATGTATTAATAATAAGAGAAAACAAATTTCTTAAACTTATAAATGGGGGCAAATATGTAAACAAACATTTTTATTTAAGAAAAAAAGAGCTTCTTAAACTTATAAATAGGGGTAAGTATGTAAACAAATATTTTAAGGGGTATAAATGTTTTCACACTATTCATAAGAGCTCTCTCATACATTATTATATTTATTTATGACTCATTACGATATTGATTAATTAGCAATTATGCTAAGGCATATCTATTTTTCTAGAAGTCATCTATCGTATATTCGTATAGCAATCATTGTTTTTTTTAAAAAAAAAAATAAAAATAAATAAGAGGTGCACAATAGTTAGAATAGTCTTCTCTCAAAACTATCGTCATCTGTCAATCATTCACCTAGCAACTCTATTGACTATTGTAAGTATAATACTATAGAATTATGCCATGCAGACAATGTAGTAGCAAGTTGCTAGTTGCTACTACAGCAAAGTTTCCTTATACTTGTATATGGCATTACTACTCCAGTACGTCTCAAGGTATGGTTGTGTAGCAAACTTTAGCTTTAAGAATCACTTGTTCTTGTAAAGGTTTAATCACTTAATTCTTTTAGGATATACAATAATTTTCTTTCTTGTGCAATGATTAGTTAATGTTTACAACTTTGTAAAAACTAAAAAAAGTTGCCTTTTACTGGGTTACCAATTATTTGACTGGATTTGGAAAGACTTGAAAGGATTAAATGATCACTCATTATTTGTGACATTGGGTTATTTGGATGATACAAATAAAAATATAAAATAATGAACTCTTTTCAAGTCTTTTTTGTGACACAAAATTCTTTTCAATTCACTAGCTATTTAATCATGCAATAATGATTTATGCCTATCTTATAATAATGAGATTAGTGGGGTAAAGCGGTTACAAAAGAAAGGTAGGCCATCATGTACCAATCAATGAGAAATAGGATAAGTTAAGTTCCCTTGCAATAAATAGAGATTTTGAGTTGGAATTAATCGTTCTAACATGTTATTTGACTAGTTGAACTCTTGCATATATACAGTATTCATCTTATTTGTGGTGATGTTTTCATGTTTAATTCATTTTTTTTAAGTCATACCATTACCTACCATTCTACCTCCCCTTGACTATTGAGTATTCACCCTTCGGCAAAGGGTTATTAAGAATTTTTTTTTTTGAGAGTCGCAAAAGACGGTTTATGTAGAGATTATATAACAAAGCCTAATACTTTACCGATAAAGAAAATTAAAATTAATGTATATATGATTATTTTATTAGTTATAAGATACATTTTACTCTACAACTATTATATTAGGAATTCATCTAAGCCCGACAAACCTGATCCAACCCGAATTGGTGACCCACTCTCAAATCTTGAATTGTATATAAATGAAATGACTTGTAATTGATTGGTGAAATTTACTTGATCTAATTCACAATCAAATAAAGTATAAGTTAAATTGATTTGCTCCTGTCAAAAAGTTAAATTGATTTGTTTTCCACAAATAACTAATTGGCGCAATAGATCCAAACTTGATCAAATACTTGAAAGAATAGTCTTCTCACTCAAATATTATCCATATGAGGATCTCTAATGGACAAACTCATATCGAACAATCCAATTACTACCTCTAATTCATCCAACCTTGATTTTTTGAATTTCTGTGAAAATTTTATCTGAAATAATTTATTAATACTTTTCTTTTAACAATACATACTTATAATAAGTTGTTTTTTTTTTTCGGCTTTACTCTATATTTTATTCTATGACTTTATTTAAAATGCTTGACCTTATATTAACTCATAAAGTAATCAAGTGGCAAGTTTCGAAAAAATAAAATTATATGGAGTAATATGGAACTGTTTATCCACATAAAATGGTTGAATAGTTGTTTTCAGTAGAACGTAAGCTAGGAAATGAGCCATTATATTTATGTATAAAAAACTCTCTTGTCAATTTAGTATCTAAAAAGAAAAAGAGAAAAATTGTAATGATATGGAATATTTGGTAAAAATAGTTTCAATTTTTACCCATTCTTAAATAATTTTAACTTTGGATTATTTGTAAATACTCCGAATTTTGGGGATTATTTGCTACCTTTGGACCTAGTTGATTGATAATCAGTTAAGTGAGTATTTTTTTTCTTCACTTTGATTTCGGTCAAAACCCCCCACCACCCTTTGCCTCCATCCCAACCACCGCCTCTCCCAGCACCACCCCTAAACCATCAACCCCTCTCCCTTTCCCCGACTTTTCCAACCATTGACAACCCCTATCCTCCCCACCCCTTTGCACCGAAAAGTGGAGAAATGTAAAAAAGGGAGAGGGGCGATGGTTAATGGCGAGGGGACAGTGTGGGGGTTGGGCAAGGGGAGGAGGTGGTGTCGGAGGCTGTGCAAGGGGAGGGGGAGGGATTGGAAAAGGGGAAAATAATGGTGGAAGAAGGGAAGGTTTTGTTGGTGGTTGTGGGGAGTAGGATGGCTGACGGTGGTGGAGGAAGGGAGGTGGTCACTGGATTTATTTATTTTTAATTTGTTTTTAAAATTTTTTTTTGACCAATCACGTCCGGACCAAATTATTTTGGGATTAAGGCTTTGTTGTTGTTGTTTTGACCAAACATGTGTTGCCACACAATGTGTCCCTAGAATTTGTTATAGTAGGTTGATGACCGGTTGGGACCCAAAGAAAGCGAATGACTCCTAAAGTTCGGATTATTTGAAAATAATCCAAAATTGATATTATTTAAAGCAAATGGTTCACAGTTGGAATATTTTTTACCAAATTTTCCTAATGAAATTTAGTAAGTCTTGTGTGTAACTATATATGTTATAAAAAAAGCTTTTATCATTCGTATAAGTAACATCATTTATTCATAAGAGTAGCCTTATTTTATTTATATGAATAATCCAAATTCATTATATGAGTAATATCAATTATTCCAAAAAAAAATGTAATCTCATTTGTTCATTTGAGTAACCCCTATTTTTTAAAGTTAATTTTGATTAAAAAAAAAATGACTCAACTTATATACTATAAGAGTAACCCCATTTATTCATCGTCGTAAACTTGTAATCCCATTATTCATTTAGAGAGAAACATTCAAATTTGGCTAAGCCTTAGTTCAGGCCAAAAAATTGGTGCCCAAACCTGCACTTTTGGTAGCGAGCTTTCGAGGCATTTGCGAGCTGGTCCAAAATAATTTTAAGTTGCTCAAAAAAAGAAAAGAAAAAAAAAACAGTTAGCTTAAGCCCCTACTGTAGACCCAATTTTTTATTTTTTTTGCCAAATCGGAGCATTTCTAAGGCTGGGGCGGATCAATCGTGATCACCTCTAGTATAAAACACTAATGGAGCATAAAGTAGCGTACTCTGTATATGAATCATGCAAAAGTTAAAGTGAGATCAGTGGCGGGGCTGGGCCGATGCAAGGTAGGCGACGGCTAAGGGCCCCGAAAATTAGTATATAATAATAATAATAATAACAATAATAATAATAATAATAGAAAAATTATTGTCTCTCTTGAAAGAAAGGGTTTATCTCCTTTGAAAGACAAAGTTTTTTCGATCTCTTTCGAAAGACAAGGTTTTATTTGCGCTTAATAGGGTCTCTAGTTGTGCAGGGCTACAATTGATTATGGTTCATATTCGGGTTACGAAATCAGCACAAGAATTTTCTTTCTCACAAAATTATGAAGCGGCGACAGATCCACTCAAAAAGTTGTATGAGACAAAGAATTGAGAATGCCTCGAAGTGTTATATCTATGTATTTGAATTCTTAGCCCTTCCCCAATTAATTCTTGTTTGATTTGGTTAAATCTGTTTTCATTATCGTTAATTGCCAAGTATAGATGTCGTATGGCTTTATTTAATGAAATTTAATGTCCTTTAGGGCTTCTTTCAAAACAAAATAATAATAATAATAATAATAATAATAATAATAATAATAATAATAATAATAATAATAATAATAATAATAATTGTAGAAAGCATAAGTGGATTATGGTTATGTCGTGCTAATTATATTCTCTAAACTAAATAAGTAAAAATAAGGTGAACAGAATAAACCCTTAATTTACATCTTTTTATATTCAAGTCAATAAAAACTATGTGCCATTCAATATGTAACACTTAAAAAAAACGAAGTGATAAGTTTTTAATAATATAAAAATAGAGCGAGTATAATAATTCGTACTCCATCCGTTTCATGATGATGTTCATATTTGGATTCTTTTGTGTAAATTAAGGTAAGGGAAAAATATTGAGATAAATTACATTTGCAATAACTTTTGTGTAAATTAAGGTAAGGAAGAATCTTGAGATAAATTACATTTGCAATAAAGTACATTGAAACCACTTACAATAATATTTTGAAATAAAGTACATTGAGACTATCTTTTTTGGATTGGGAGTTTGGGACCATTAAAACGAAGATAATATGAAAAAACAATGAGAATATGCAAGGAATTAAAACAAAAAGTAGAAATATCATTATGACACATCCGAAATAAAAAGTAAAAGCTTAATTATGGAACGGAAGGAGTAGTATATTTTATTTTTTCAATCAAACAAATACTTTTAGATATCTATTCCATAATCTTGTTCATTTTCGAGTGAGTTTCCTTCTCATAAAATAAAGAAACAAATAAAATAAAAAAGGTACACCCTACTAATTAAGATGTTTTATCACACACAAAGACACACTTTCTCTCTTCCAACTGACAGCTTCACATGCCCATGCAGGTACCTCTATGACCCCACCCATATAATCATCCCACATGGAAGAGATCATCTCTCTCCACAGATTCTTCTTCCTTCAGATAAATCCCATGCATTAGATTTCACTAATTTAATCCCTTTTTGTTTTTTCATAACTAAAGAAATTTCCCATTTTTATTTTTCAATTTATTTATCAAAGCCAATCACCTGCTCTGCACCACATGGGTAGAGGCAGAGTACTCTGTATTCCATATTCTCTGAATTAACAATTCTTCAATTCTTCATTTTCTGTCATTTTCTCTGTCTTTTGGTTGTCATTTATTTTTGTGTTCTGCGCAAATCAAACTCAAACATTTCTTCTTGGATCTGCAGTTATTCTTCCTTAAAGTTTTTATTTTGAGTTTGATTTTTCCTTGCATTCTAAGGGTTTTGATAGTTCTTCACTTAATGAGCTATAAGTCAAATTTCTGGGCTTTTTTTTAGATACCCAGTTGAGCTAATTGATTTTGCTCATCTGGGTATCTCTTATTTTCCTGTAATTTGTACTGGGTAGTTAAGTTTCAGGTCAAAAAACCCAGAAAATTGGTACAGTAAAAGCCTGCATTTGGTTGTTTTTTACACAAATTGGTAGGTGGAGACATTACTACTGGGGTTACTGAATTCTAGCTTGCTTAATTTTGAAGATAGATTAACTGATTTGTACTGATTTTGCTATTTTGGACTGGAAGGTTGGTAATGAAGAAGTGATTTCTAGGGTTTTAATTTTTGGGTGGTTGGAGGTTGAAATTCTGGCATTTTAATGATTAAAATCTGAATTTAAGAGTGTTAAATTTGGTTATTCAGGACAAATTTCAAGCTTAATTACTGAGGAGTAATAGTTTGTCCCCACTCCCAAATTCTGAGGGTCTGACATTTCTGTACTCAGATTAGAGGAGGTGGTGGGGTTTTTGATTTTGCTGAATTTGGAGGAAAATGGCATAAAACATTATCCTAAAGAATACAGGGAAAAGTATATCAAGGATTGGTTAGGGTATTTGGATTGTGTGTGATTTTGAAGAAGTGGTAGTTGTGTTTTGTATTTGTTTTTTGGGTGCCATGGCTGCAAAATTGTTGCATTCATTGGCAGATGAAAATCCAGATTTGCAGAAGCAAATTGGATGTATGACTGGAATTTTCCAAATCTTTGACCGCCAACAGCTCATCTCCGGGAGGCGGCCAAACCCACGGAGGCTCCTTCCTCCTCCTCTTCCTCCAGCAGGTAGTCTGTAATTGCATTTTGGTGTTGATTTGGATTTTTTTTAATTGTATCTTTGTCTCTTTCATTGCTATTTGTTAGATTGATTATGTCTTCTCTTATGTTGTATGCTCATTTATACTTCGTATAATTCTTCTTTATATTTGGTAACCTGCTGTCCTTTAATATTGTCTTGTTTTGGTTGTCATTATTGTTTGTGCCTATGGTTGGATTTTTGCAAATAGGACTTTTAGAAGTTAGAATGTCATAATTACTTGGATTCTACCTTCTGTTGATTTGGTGGTTTTTGCTATTACCCATACACAATCTTGAATTCTTGATGTAATTCGTTTCTCATATTAATTACTATTTACATTTTTTATATCACGGGTTCACGGCGAGGGTAGGGTGGAAGGATGGTGCTAATTTTGATAGATTGTATACCTGTGGTGTATCATCTACCCACCCTGCCTGCCCCCCTGCCAAATGCTCAATGCTGTACCATGTTTTAATCATCTATCGCCCTTTTCTACAGGCAATTCTGAATGTAGCAATGAAGACCTGGATGCTGATTCTAGTAATGCATACAATCGTGAAACACTGGTACTGGATATCAACTTGGCTACCTTTTCTATTATCTTTGTTAAATTTGTTTCATCTATGTGCAGTTTGTTATGTCTATGCTTAATTTTGTTCACGTGGTGGGTGTGCGACCTGTGCCACACGATTATTATAGATGAACAGAGATGCCAGTCTTAAAACTTAATCACGGTGAGGGAAATTGAATGATATAGTGTTATGATGAAGGGGTGGAACGTTTTAGATTTATACTCCTCAACAAGCTCCTTGAGATGGCAAATGCTTGAATTCATGATTAATCAACTTCAACAAAATATTATTAGCTGTGAATTTATCAAGTGCAGTTCATTATGTTGACACTTTGGAGTTTTAACACTACTTTACAATTAGCTTTGAGTATAGTCATCTGAGGATACTCAATGTAGGCTCCAATTTGCATTTGTTATCAATTTTTATCAATTAAGATTGAATAATTTAGCTTTGTGGTTGCAGGAAAAGAATCTAAACAAAAATGCAAATGAAAAACGAGGATCCACTGAATCATCAAGAGCCTCCTTTTCCTCTTCATCACGATCATCATCATTTTCCTCCCTAGATTGTGGCAGAACAGGACAACCAGAGCCGTCTTCCATGGATCGAATTATTTTTCCCGAGACTCCTTCAAGAGACCCTGTCATAAGCCAGACAAGTGCTAGTCCCAGGATGGGAAGGCTTTCTGTTGATATTCGGGATGTGGTTAAGGATTCAATGTACAGAGACTCTCGTGGTCTACCAGTTCAGACCACTGCTAAGGAGGATAGATCAGGCTGCAGTTTGAAACATGGTGATTCCCCAAGACCTCAGCAGTTGTCAAAATCAGTGGATGGATCATTAGGAGTTGGGATGAAGGGGAATAACATGACAGCTGACATTAAGGAATCTTTAAGAGTTCTTGCTAAACTTCGTGATGCTAGGTTGAACTATAATGAAAATGAACAACCGAGATTATCGCATGAGTCACAGGAAGAATCTTTCTTTCCAATACCAAGAGATGCTCCTAGATTTTCTTATGATGGGAGAGAGATAAATCGCAAGATTAAAGATCTTCCAAGGTTTTCTTTGGACAGTAGAGAAAGTTCAGCAAGGAGCTCCAATACTGATTCAAAATTAAGTAGCGACAGCTCTAATGAAAGAGCTAAAAATGCACTACAGCCATTAAATAATCAGTCACGTCCCTCTAGTGTGGTAGCTAAACTCATGGGCCTTGATTTGTTGCCCGATTCTAAACGTTCCAATGAAAGTCAATTGGGGCCAATAAAGATGTTCCTTGAAGACAATGGTCCCTCTTTAGCACCATTAAGAGTACCTGATGTAAGCCGGCCAGTTCGTCTTCCCAAATCGCCAAGGAGCACAAGGAAGGAGTCAACTTCACCAAGGTGGAAGAATTCTGATACAGTCATGAAACCGATTCCTACTTCGAAAATTCCTATTGAAACAGCACCGTGGAAGAATCTGGATGGAAGTCGAGCTTCTCCAAAGCAAGCTTCAAAACAAATAAAATCCTCACCGAGCACATCAAGCACTTCCCCTTCAGTTCTTGGTGAAATGGAGAAACGGTTGAAAGATATTGAGTTCAAACAATCTGGAAAGGATCTTCGAGCCCTAAAGCAGATACTGGAAGCAATGCAAGTAAAGGGTATATTGGAGGCCTCGAAAGATGAGTATTCTTTTAATTTGGGAAACAAGAGGGACCATGGCAATAGAATTGGTTCTGAGACGAATGCTGGGAGCTCCCATGACTTCCGCACTAATAGAGCTACTGCTTCCAAACAAAAGGGAAGTGGCACATCAAAAGCATTTGAATCCCCAATTGTTATTATGAAGCCTGCTAAGCTTGTCCAGAAATCTAGCATTCCTGCTTCCTCCATCATCCCGATTGATGGCTTGTCTTCTCTTCAAAGGCCCCAGAGCAGCGATGGTGCATCTCACAGGAAGAATTCAGTTGGTAGCAAAATACCCAAGGATCAGACTATTAAAGATAGTCGCATAAATCAGGCTGTTACTTCTGATAAGAAAATTAATAATAGAAACTTGAAAGTGGCTCCATCTTCATCAAGATCATCACAGATAGCCAAAGATAGTACTGCAAATTCATCAAAAAATTCGGGATCCATAAGCCCTAGATTGCAACAGAAGAAGCTGGAGCTTGACAAGAGATCCCGTCCTCCAACCCCACCTGCCGATTCAAACAAATCTAGAAGGCAACCTAGCAGGCAGACAACTGAATCTAGCTCCCCAGGTGGGAGACGCCGATTAACCAAGACCAGCAGTGTGCAGCAAATTGATGATCAATCAAGTGAAAAATGTAGCGAATCCAGGAATTTGTGCTGCCAAGAAGATAATGTATATGTGCAATCTGACGCCAATTTGGAGCCTAGAATGGATACAGAAAGCACCAGCACCAAGCAGCCTGTGGATGTAGCCGTCTTTCAGAGTCCTTCTGGGGATAAGTGTTGGGTTTCTGAAGAAATAAAGGAAGTAAGTTTTTTTTTTTTTTTTGATCTTTTTATGACCATGAGACGGCCTTTTTGGACCATTCTAATCTGCTGATCATTTGGCTAAGGATGTACATATATAATATGTTTCAGGACTTAAGCTTAAGGTTGATAGAAGAGAGCACGATGGAATATCCTGCTTTTGCCCCTGGACAGCCAAGTCCTGTTTCAGTGCTCGACTCTTCTGCATACATGGAAGGCTCTCCATCTCCTGTTAAACAAACTATAGATGCCTTCAAAGGTGAAGATTTATTCCTTTTAATGGTTTTTTTTTCCTTTTTAATTTTTTTTCTTTTTTCCATTGCCATATAAATACCTGCGAAGGTAAATTATGGGTTTCTAGCTGCTGCATCTATTGATGCTTGCAGCCAAAATTTTCTTGCCACTGTCCTTTTGTAGTTTTGATTCAGTAGGTTTACTCATTGTCAAATACTCACATTCCTTTTTCTAGGAGGCCTGAGATGGTAGTTTCTGCATTGAGGTGCATAGGATTTGCCAGCATATTTTTGTTATACTGCAATTATAACCTTTTATGAAGACTCAGAATTCACTTAAATGAATAAAGATGATTACATAGTAACGATGAACTTTGTATGGCATTAAAACAGGATCTTTGTCATGCTTGAAATTGGTTTAAATGTTATGCTAATTGTAATATCTGGACAGAAATGTATTTTTTTGTGTTTTTTGCTTAATTCTGACATGACTTGTATAAAACAACCCACCCAAAAGGGCCAAAATAACTTATCTCTAGCTGAAAGGTAATGCTTTTATTATTTATATTAACTTAAATAAAACAACAAAAGTTAGCCATAAAACAGATATATGACTATATGAGGGCACGTTAGAGATATATGCAAAAGTAGAGGATCACTTTAGAATATGAGCAAAAAAATTTCCACCGTATGGAAAGTGCAAGAATTAGAAGCCACCGAGTGAAATTCCACCCCCCACCCCACCCCCCACTTTTTTTTGGTAAATTCCTATATAATTTATTTTTTTAAAAATTTTTCTCCTACAACCCACTGATTGGTTCCCTGTGTTCATGGCACAAATGTAGTTGCTGAATCAAATGATGCTGAGACAGAGTTGTGGAGTACCGTAGATGAGATTTCTACTCAGAACACAGTTTTGGAGCTTCCTTCTGAGATTAGTCGTAAGAAATTACAGAGCATTGACAACTTGGTTCAGAAGCTCAGACGATTGAACTCAACTCATGATGAAGCCCAGACAGATTACATTGCCTCACTGTGTGAGAACACTAATCCAGACCACAGATACATATCTGAGATACTCTTGGCTTCAGGTCTCCTACTCAGAGAACTTAGTTCGGGTTTCACAGCCTTCCAACTCCACCCATCTGGCCATCCTATCAACCCAGAACTGTTTTATGTTTTAGAGCAGACAAAAGCAAGCAGTTTGCTTGCCAAAGGAGGGAATGTTGATGAGGTTTCTCTCAGCAAAACCAAGCCTGAAAAATTTCACCGCAAACTCATATTTGATGCTGTGAATGAAATTCTCACCGGAAAGTTGGCCATTATGGGCCAACCTAGTGAGCCTTGGTTGAAGCCTGCAAAACTTGCTAAGAAGACCCTTAATGCTCAGAAGCTTCTGAGAGAGTTGTGCTCCGAGATAGAATTGCTTCAAGTTAAAAAGCAGGATCTCAGTTTAGAGGAGGAGGAGGATGGGTTGAAATGCATCTTGTGGGAGGATGTTATGCATAGATCAGATAGTTGGACGGATTTCCGAGGTGAATTTTCCAATGTTGTCCTCGATATAGAGCGATCCATATTCAAAGACTTGGTAAATGAGATCGTTATTGGTGAGTCAGCTTGCCATCGACGTAAGCCTAATAGGCGATGCAGGCAACTTTTTTCCTAGTAACAACCCTTTTTTTTTTTTTTTTTACTTTTCGTCTTACCCCTGAATGTTTACCTTACCCTTTTGATGCTTCTATCATCATGATTAATTTTTTTTATTTTTTTATTTTATGTATAAGGCGTAAACTAAGAAAGCCACGGATAGGAACTAAAATACTTGTTTCATTAACACCTCATGTTCTTCAGCGGATTGTATAGAGTATCTAATGTTAATAAATTATATTACAGCACAAAGTTTCTTCAGAATCAGTCTATTTGAAGTCTTTTCTTCTTTTATCTTTTGCTTCTGTTGAGACTGTGTACAAGGTTTTGATCATGTACTTTTCTACTATTTCATCAACTCTAGTTTAAATGTGATCTATTCATCTACATATCTACATAGCCAAAGGAAGTTCTGCAATCTCCAGGTAAAAAAAATCTTCGTAAGTTTCAAAGGGATTACAATCAGGTAAATGTGAAAAAACTGTCATGAAGTTTCGAAGGGACTGCAATGTACAGCGAGTCTGCAATCAGTATGTGAAGCGTTTTCTTTCTAGGAAATATTCAGATCAATTTTCGCTCCATGATTGCAATATTTCTTGAAGGAATGATGCCAGCCAAATATATAGGGGTGTGTAGTAGTGATTTTGAAAAAGGGGTGTTTAGCCCAAACCTTTGAATGCTGAACATTGCCTCCTCCGCCTGCTTTTGCCCACCGGCCTCACCATCTCCGCCCTTCTTGTCCATAATGACCATCTTGTAGCTTCCCCAAACTACACACCCTTACCCCTCCAGCTTCACTGGCCTGGCCATAAACATAGGCAACATTATATGACCGCCTTTTTGAAGAGTACGTCTATCAAAGAATAACTTATTAGAGTACCTGACAAAGCTCTCTCTTTGAAACTCATGCTCATGAATTTTCAACAAAGACTTTAAATTATTGGGGCGTTGGGGTTAAACTAGATAAATCTGAAACATACATGTATCAAGTATGATAACCATAAAGAATGGATGTCTTAAAATTCATGACTATAACCCTAGGGGATGTGGGACTGTGGGTTTGAGAAAAACCCTCAATCCTAGAATAAAGATTTAAAAATAAATAAATAAGTAAAAATTAGTAGTATACACCCATAATGTCAATTGTTATTTTTTATACTTTGTCAAGAATATAGCAAATAGATCAAATCAAGGGGACAATGATGCTAAGTGCATTTTGAAATTTATTTTATTGTCTAAGTCAAGCGTTTAAGATATACATGCTCTAACTTGAGGGAGAGTGTTGAGACATAAAAGAGTTAGGAATTTTATATTACTTTGTAATTGTATTGTACGACGTTGTAATTTATTAATATATAATTTGTAAATGTTTTATGTGTAGGATTAGAAAAGTTGGTGATAAACAAGGATTTTCAAATTTAACCATGCTAGCAAAAAAACTAACCTTACGATTAGAACTAAAACTTTGGAAACTCCCATAACGATGGTTTTTAGTAGATCCCGAGACATTAAATATGAATTTACTCAATTTAGTGGTACAATTTGTGGGTCAAGGCCCAAGTAGAAAGTGAGTTATTTGCAACGCAAAACATTGTTAAAAAAGAATTTTTATATTTAAAGAATGTTCAATTAACAAATGCCTCCGTAGCATAGTGGTAGTGCGTTCGCTTCGTAAGCGAAAGGCCGCGAGTTCGATCCTCGCCGGGGGCTACGTATTTGTGTTTTCCTCAAATTTTTGCTACCATTCATTCTTTTTCCTTTTTTTTTTTGGGTTAGATTCTTGAAATTTCAAATAATACTTGTATATATAAACTTTTATTCCCCTTTAAAAAAAAATTAATTCTGATTGGTCATATGAATCTTTTAATCATTTTTTAAGATTAAATTTCGGCGATTCAATAGCTAGGTAGTAGCATATGATCTAATTACAAGTAAGATTACTAGTGTAATGTTAAAGTTAGTGTAAATCATAATACTATTCGGATTCATTAAGTATTAAGCTTAACCCTGGCCTATACAATTATATTACTCGGTATTAGTTAACTTCCGATTATTAAATCTTAACCCAATACCATGCATGTAGTTAATTTTAGAGTTTATGTACAAATTTTGCCGTATACAAAAGTACGTTCGAAATTGCTCCTATCATCAAAAGCATGCCCTTTGGAGGTGCAATATTCTCTCCCTTCCGTCCACCATGATATGCACATTATGCATTATGTAGCAATTTTTGCACTTTTTCAAAAATTGGACTATAAGAGCAAGGCTTATATTACAAAGCTACAATAAAACAAGACAATACATGTGATCCTTTGTTTTTCTATACATAGTCAAGATAATAACAAATTTAGATCGTCCTCTAATGCATAAAGACTGAGCCACCATATATGACTTTGAGTGTATCAAACTATAATATAGCGAATCATTCATAAACAGTCATATATGCGTATATCACTATATCTATCATCATAATCAAATGCACGGTCCACAAAAGTAATCTAAAATAGGTCGTCAATACTTCCTTTTCAGTTCTCAGCCTTGCTTTGAAATATTAATTAGGGTGCACGGTGCACCTGTATTACGAGTATTGTACTACATACCTAGTAGTCAAGGAAATTAATTACAGGGTGATCTTAAGCATACATGATACATGTACTATATAGGTTTTGCTTCATTCTTTTCTTATTGGATGGCAGGAATTACTACTTGATTCCAACTGTTTTGAAATAATGATTACACTTTTCTTTTGATCCGAGTTAGAGTAAAGTTACACATGTACTTTTCTAGGTTGAGATATATGACCCACAACACAACTAATTTCAGCTCGAAAAGCCGTGAACAAGCTCAAATTTTGTTAACAATTGTATTTAATATATAAAAGTATAATATAATCTCTAACTTAAATTAAAATTACTATTAAAATATATGTACACTTGCTAAGAACCTCAAAAGAAATAGCAAAAGGTATGATAGTCATACAAATATGCTAACATAAAGTGGTTATAATTTTTGAAGCTAGGTCAAATTTTAAAATAAGTTGAAAGTGAGAATGAATTGTTTTAAGCTCAAAAACATCCCTACCTGACTACTTCCTTATAAATTTATAATGTATTGATTTCGCCATTAAATTAAAGATAGACAAAATGTATGTTATGATTTAGCCACTAAAACAATAGATTCAATAATTAAAATTGCTCCTATTCATAAGAAATCTCCCATTAAAAGATCAAATAACTAACAAAAGACTTAAATTTGTTGAAAAAGACTATAGGTGTTGTCTATCTCTAGCATGTTATCTGTGGATATGGTCTAACAATCCTCCGGCCCTCACACCACCGTCCCCGCGGCCCCGCCCCTCTAAATTTCGGCGGAGGAGAGAAGATGTTAGATGAACACGGAACTCTAAACTGTCCATTTTATTCCAGTGAGCAATAGTACTGCATTACGTATGTGAGGCAACAGGCAAGTACAGAACGGTGGCATGCTTTGGATTGCTTTCTGAGAGTGTATGTACTAGTGTTTTAATTTTTGGTGTCTAGAGTGTTTTAAAGGCGGGTGATGAGAATCGATCCCAGGATTATTTAGAATTGGAGAAGAAGCTTAACCAACCGAGCAGTCCCACGTACTGAGAGTGTAGCACTGTAGATATATATTTTTTCTTTTAAATTATAAATTTTAAGTTTTTGGGAAATTATGTTAAATATTCACATGTTATGTAGTTGAAAGTCTTATAAAACTAGGTTAGTCCAGTGCGATACACGCTTTTAGTAATATAACTTTTGCTCTTATGTGTGCAATATAAATATTTTTTTTTTGAGGAAGCGTAATATAAATAATATAAGAGAAAACATAATAAATAATGATCTCTCTTATTAATAAAAATTGAGCTAAAATAAAAAAAATTACGTTAAATATTCTAATTAACTTCATTATTAAAATAAAATTAAAGAAATGTTAGCATCTATCAGTTTAGTGGTTTTTGATTCATTATATAAAATTTGAAAAATTAATAAAGAGTATAAAATTCAAACTCATACCATCACTAATAAAAAGTAGGAAAAAAAAATCTATATAGGAAGAAAGAAGGAAAACGGAAGAGACCAATAACCAATTTTATTATTTTTTTTTTTACCTCCATAGGAAATTTTGTAGTTAGTAAATTTAGTCATAAAAGTTTTTAGGCCCTGTTCTTTTGAGTTGTTCTGCTGAAATCTGCTTTGCTCTGCTCTATTCTACTTTGCTGAAATCTGCTCTACTCTACTCTGCAGTGTGTCTTCTCTACTAACCCCTGCTCTGCTGTACCTAGAAGCTCAAAAGACAGGGCTTTAATCTACTTTTTCAAACATTAGCTTTATCTCAAAATGGAGAAAAAAAAGGATGATGTCATTTATAATTTTGGAGGGAAATTTTCTTATAAGGAGCTAACACATGGCAGCGGTGATGTCATTTATAATTACTTTAGTATAAGTTATAGATTTATATACATTTAATTCAATTACTAGTGTGTGACCCGGGCTTTGTTCCAGGTGATACTTTGAATAATTTCATTTTTTATTTTTACTTTTATATTAGATGTTTTAAAAGTCTTGTTGATTTTTTTTAAGTAAATTAGAATGCTATGACAATAATAACTTATTTTGGATATATATATATATATATATATATGTATATATATATATTTTAAATTGTACATTCTAATACTTGTATGTATTTAAACATTAATGTGGATTAATTAAGCATGATTTATTTCTAGCTAAGATGGTACATACATATGGTTTCATTCAATGAGGTTTGGGGTTCAAATCTCTTTGTATGCATTTAATATTGTGCATTGATGCTAAAGGTTATTGAATGATGATGTGGCGTGATACTTGTGTAAGAAGGAGTACACATGACATATAGACAATTTTAAAAAACGCCTTTTAATATATATAGATAGATGTACCGTTCAAAAGATTGATATGGGCATTTGGCAAAATACATGTCTATAGGGGTAAAGGTAGTATATATAACTTTATGAATTTTGAATTTAAAAAAATTCAAAGGGAGTAATTTTTAAATTATATTTACTTGTAGTTTACGTGCTCTGTCCATGTTTCTTTGTTTAATTTGTCACCTGTAAAATCGATTCTAAGAGATTTCAATGGAAATTGAATATGATATTTTAACGGTTTTCTTTTTATATTTTGTTCAAAACATAGTCATGCGGGATCGTTTTATAAATATATCTTGATTTTAGTTTTCAAATAATAATTCTATAT